CCTCGCAGATCTGCCGGACGAACACCATGCAGTCTACCTCTGTCAGGTGATAGTCGTCATCGACGATCCGCTCGAAGAGCTCGCCGCCCTCCACACTGCGCGGGGACGGACCGCAGGGTCACCCGGGGCTCCCTGCCCCGTGCCACCCTCCTGTGAAGCCCCAGGGCTGCTCCGGGGACCCCCAGCCCAGCCCCCCCGTGGAGACGCTGGTGTAGAAGCTGAGCAGAGCCACGGTGGGATGTGTGTGTGCTGGGATTAGACACCCCCCTCAAGGCAGGCACGGGGGGGGGGCATTACCCCAAAACACCCCAGCTCCCCCAGGGTTTGTAGAGCAGCACAGCCGCAGCACAGCCCCAGCCTCCCTGGAGCAAGCGGGCAAGAGGAAAGGGAGCTGTGTGGGAAGGGCTTGGGTCATCTCCATCCTCAGCTCAGCCTCCATAGAAGGAGATGCTGTCCTGGCCAGGCAGAGCCGGAGCTGCCTCCGAGCCCAGCGTGAGACGAGGAGGTGCCCGAGAGGGGACGGGCGAGGTGAGGGACTTTCCCTGGGGCCAACCCCTTCTGCTTAGCGAGGGGCTGGCACATCTGCTCCATCGCTACAGCATCTCCTGCATCGGTGCCCCTCACCCAGGCATCAGGCCCCACGCGGCACTACCCTGGCACTCACAACTCCAAGAAGAGGATGATCTCCCGGGGCGTCTCGATGGCATCGTAGAGCTGGATGAGGTTGCGGTGGTTCAGCTGGTTCATCACGTCGATCTCCAGCAGCACCATCTCCTGCAGAACGAGCCCCACGGCAGCGCAGGGTGTCAGCCCTAGCCGAGCCACCGGCGCGGGGACAGGCTGTGTCACAGCACCGGGGACACACCGGGCATGACGCCGCCACCCACCACCTTAGCAATGCCGCTTGCCGGTGGCACCGCGGCCAGGAGGAGCCCCCCCACCCCGGCATCAGTCAGACCTTGTCCTTGGCACCCTGCTTCCGGATCACTTTGGCCGCCAGCTTGAGCCCCGTCTGCTTCTCTGTGCACGTGTGGACTTCGCCGAATTTGCCCCTGGGGAAGGAGGGGAGAGATGCCAACGCCATCAGCTGCCCAGGCTGCTGGAGCCCCCACGCTGCTCCGGGGTGCTGCCCTCTGCTTCCCCTCCGCACCCATCCTGCCCGAGGCACCAACCCATCGTGGGGAGAAAAGTCCCATCGACCCAGGACCATTGCCCAAGGCTGGACGGCAGCTCGGGGCCGCGCTGGGGGAAAGCCAAGTGTCCCGCGCCCTCCCGGGGCCCCTCCTTACCCTCCCAGGATCTCCTTGGCCCTGAGATTGAACTGGGAGCTGACGCTGGCGGACCGCAGGGTGACTATGCGGTGCGCGAAGGGCGCCGGCGGCGGAGGGACATCATCTGCCCAGAGAGGAGGGCTGGGGTGAGAAGGGGAGCTGCCCGGCTGGGAGACCCCCACCATTGGGCACCCCGGGGTGCCCCAGGCCGGGAGTGCGCCCCGGTGCAGGGCGACGGCAGGCACCCCGCGGCGCAGCCCCGCCAA